TAAAATTGAGGGCATATATAGCCGGTTTCTCAGAAATGAATGGACTGGTTTGGTGTATCCAAACTTCCGGTAACCAGTACAGTACGGTCTGATGTATAAATACAGGTATATTGATCCCGATTCCAGAAAATGTTTTAAATTTAAAATTTAACGTGTATAGGAATGAGGACCAAGAATAGGTGGTGTGCGCCTTATTATAATTTTAGTATACAAACTGTCCTAAAATTGAGAGAAATTCCCAATGATGTGGCACACATAAGAGAAGTTATCTAAAGAATAAATACACTATAACTTTAAAAATACAGAAGAGCATACATATCAATATATTTAAATAAAAATAATAATCATTTAGCAATATCAATTGTAATAAGTCAAATATCAAAGTATGTACATGTGCCATGCTCGCGTGTTGGTGTCTCGTAGTTATATATTATCATTCATCGTGCTTGCAAATTAATTATGTACTTTAATCCAACATGCGTCCATCGTTCATGCTACCTTCATCATTCTACATTCATTTTCCGTTATATATTACACGCGTGGACCGCTTGAATACTACGCGCGTTCATTAGCTAAATCATTTGATATGTAACCTAAGTACAGATTCTAGGTACTGGCGTTGTTTATCATCTTAATTACGTGTTATAGTGTTATTAGGTCTTTCCACTTTTCTGTGGAAACACCTATTGTATTTGTTCTGATTATTATTAGGTCTTTCCACTTTTCTGTGGAAAGACCTATTGTATTTGTTCTGATTATTATTATTTTTTTCTTCCGTCAAATCTTGTTATCGCGTAAAATCATTATAAAGCCATATGACCTTTTACAAAAGGTTGGACGGAATATGACAGTTGTTTCCCATTCGTTTGATGTATTTGAGTTTTTGATTTTGCCATTTGAAGGGACTTTCCGTTTTGAATTTTCCTTAGAGTTCGGTATTTTTGTTATTTTACTTTTTACATATTGATCATGTTAGCACTAAATTATTCGTGATACAAGTAGATAGGTTACAAAAAATATAGTTTTATCAGGTAACAAAATTCCGTTCAATGGAAAACACATGTACGGAGGCGGATTTATTAATTGATTGTTGCCTTGTCCAGTGACAAATATGTCATGCATATTCACGACGAGAACAATTTCATGATTAATGCAATGGGAATGTTATGCAAGGAATGTCGACGGTCGAATGGCTTGATTTGGACTGTCACTTGAAAATGACAGCATGTTGGATAAGAGCAGTCATTTTGACTTGCAAAAGGCCACCGATGGGCCTCTCAAAGAGTTGTTGCAATGTTTGTTTAAAGTCAGAGAGCGTGACACACGAAGCCGGACGTGGCTGCGTATTTATTGATCCCGTACTTTGACAGGGGTTTTACTGATTGTTTGGTATTTAGGTCAGTGGTTCTTTCGTGCACTCCGGCTTCCTTCATCAATAAAACCTGACCGCTGCAAAAAAGCGCAATAGTGCTGAAAGTGGCTTCGGTAGTCGGGGTTTTACTGAGAGACCGGTGATGTCCAGGGGTGACCATATTTCCATAACCCAGTCAAGTTGAACCCTAAGAGTACTGTACGGAGGCAGATTTCTTTTAGATAATAAACAACCTTCCTAAATATTCTATTATATACCTAATCTTCCAAAATACAAGTCTTTGGGAAGGTTAAGCTAGCAAACATGTTTAATCCCGCCACATTATGTCAAATGCCTGTAATTGAGTGGTTGAGTTTGTTCATATATGTTTTGTTCATAAACCAGACCGTTGTTTTTCTCGTTAAAATTGTTTTACATTTGGTCATGTCAGGTTCTTTTTATAGCTTACTGTATGGGTTTTGTTCATTGTTGAAAGCCGTACAGTGACCTATATTTGAGTAGCTATACGTCATTTGGTCTCTGGTGGATAATTGTCTCATTATCAATAAAACTACAAAATTTAAGGGTCAATATGTGCTTGTACCATCGGTGACACTCTGCGGAAGAAATTATGAATTGTCATTTTACCACTTTTAAATTTTCCACGAAACTGAAAGTGAGCTTCAAGACCAAAGAGTATTTGACGACTTATATTTAGTTGACAGATTTAATTTTATGTAGGATACATTGCAAACTAGTCTATAAGTTGTTTAGTGTTGTCAAAATAACTTAGAAATACATGAGTTTGACAAATATTTATGTCTGTGTGTATTGATTATTTACAAATACATAATTGTTGAATTGCATACAGTCTCAAAAGAACAAAAATATGGGGGATATTTCAACAATACAGCAACCCATAAACAAAATCATTTGAAACAGATACTTTTAATGATTATGTTTAAAGAAATATTGCTGTTTGCATTTTCCTCTAGTACATTGTACTACAACGTATTAGTTTAATATAAACACAAACAAGTGTGTGTGTTTTTTTTTTTTTTTTTGTTTTTTTTTTTAGATTTTGATATTTCAATTCCACATGGGAAGATATTAACCAAAACAAACAAAAAAATGTTCGTTCCCTATTGTAAATTTTCCTTTTTTTGGACGGTAGTGTACCTTTATTTTCTTCTTACGATGTGTATTTCTCTAGAATACTTCGTTATGCTCATGTCTAGATCTGTCGTGACGTTTTAAATTTCGATGAATATAACCTATGTACATCTTGTAAATTTTTTAGGCAAGAATTTCGTTATCACGAATTACGTTTTGAAGTTTGGCTGTACCCATAGAAACTTTTTTACAAAAGGGATACCACATCCTTATTTTGACGATAGTATAGTTTATATAGCCCGTAATTATAGATACGATCAATGTATACCTATTGACGTTTCTGCATCAACATGAGCTGTGCCTATTCTGATACAAAGTTAGATATCAAATATAATTGACTGACCATTAGTGGTTCACATAAACTGACATAAACTTTAACAGGAAAACACTGTACAAGTTTTGAACCATGACTGAGAGAGAAGGAACAAATTATCTCCATGTAAATGAGATGTGCCAATTAAAAACAGCTGCATTAAAACATATTAATTATCAGACAACATGGCCAAAAGAAAAGGAAAAATGACGAAAATACAGTCTAAAATAATTGCTTACTACCACTTCATTTTAACTCTAGTAGATAGTTGTCTTATTGGCAATCATATTACATCTCCTGATTTTATATAAAAAAAAAAAAAAAAAAATACAAAAAAAAACTAAATATTGAGCAACACGAACCCCGCCACAAACCAGGTTATACTCAGGTGCTCTGCAAGGGTCAGCAGTTCCTGCTTAACTTGTGAAATCAATTAAGCATATACTTTTATTATATATGTACAAAGATCATGAAAAAAGAAAATATTGTAAAGTTTCACTGTATATGAATTTTGACTGCATATCCATGTGCTGTTTATTTGAATTTCAGTGAGATAGAGAAAAACGATCAAAGTAATAATATGCACACCTTTTGTATAAGTGTAGCTATATATGTCTTGAAAGTTATGTGCCAATTCAAATGTGTCGCGATTGTTCAGAGCAAATCGTCTTTATCTATGTTTAAGGTAGAAAGCCAGACGAATAAAACACCGAGAATATGAAAAAGTATAAAATCTAAACAGCCTTCATCAGATGATCAGTTACAAAACAATCCATGTTTCCATAACATTGTCCTTGTTTCATACAACAACAATTATTACATATCAAAGGTGATGATCAGGTAAATACAGTACATTAAGTACTAAAGTAAGTTAATAACGTAGTTGTTTTCATGTGTTCAGTTACAAAATGTGTAACATGATAATGCAGAAATGATATCGACGGTGACTTTTGTAATGTTGATAATTTATATAACCTACATTTCACAGAAAGTCGAGCAAAAACAAGTTCCCAGATTAGGTGAAGACTTGAGCGCTCACAAACATGTTTAACTCCGCCACATTCTTTATGTGCCTGTAGTTCAGTGGTTGTCATTGGTTCATGTCTGTCATATTGGTTTTTCGTAAACTGTTTTGTTATAAATTAGGCCATTAGTTTTCTCGTATGAATTATTTCTCATTTTTTCGTATTGGGGGTCTTTAATAGCCGACTATACGGTATGTGTTTTTCTCAATGTTGAAGGCCGTACGGTGGCCTATAATTGCATATATCCACTTCATTTGAACTCTGGTTGATAGTTGTTGGTGAATAGTTGTCTCATTGGTAATTATACCATATCTCCTTATTTTCATTACTCATTCTTAAATGTTATCAATTTAACACTGCAGTAACATCTTTGAATATTGTCTTTATCGGTACTAATGTTGATTTTTTTAAATGAATTATAACATTACTAAATATGAATTGCTGCACAGTTATGAACACTTATAATCCTACATCATGACGATACCTATTTAGATATAGGAAGATGTGGTATGAGTGCCAATGAGACAACTCTCCATCCAAGTTACAATTTATAAAAGTAAACCATTATAGGTCAAGGTACGGCCTTCAACACGGAGCATTGGCTCACACCGAACAGCAAGCTATAAAGGGCCCCAAAATATTACTAGTGTAAAACCATTCAAACGGAAAAACCAACGGTCTATCTATATAAAAACGAGAAACGAGAAACATATTTGTTTGGCATTGCATAAAGTCATTTGATGACTCAAACCCTTTTCAACTGAATTTTACTGTTTATTCTACTATTGTGATTTTAACCACTGCCAGTAGTTAAGAGAGGGTTGAATAATAACAATCATGTTTTGGACTGCCTCATTATTTTTGTGTCTGTCCCAAACCAGGAACATGTAATTCATGATCAGTGATTGTCGTTGGTTAATTTGTTTGTTGTCTTCAATATTTGTTTTCCGTTTGAACACAAATCAAGTCGTTGGTTTTCTCCTTTTGAATTGATTTACATTTTGACATTGCAATGCCGTTAATAGCTTACGATATGGTATAGGTTTTGATCATTGTTGAAGGCCGTACAGTGACTTACAGTTGTTTACATCCTCGTCATTTGGTCTCTGGTAATTAGAGGCATAATTAGTAATCATACAACATCTCCTTATTTTAATATATGAGGATATGATATACAAATGTACTTAGTATAAGTACAATCAGGAACACTATGTGTGAGACATTTTTTTCAACCTAATCAAATTACGTAACCAGACGGTGTTTTATTGATTCCTAGACGTCCATTTTATTCATCTATTTTAAAATTTGTTTTCCAATGGTTATTGTTTACATCCTTGTCCTTTGGTCTCTTGTGGATAGAGGTCTAATTGGCAATAACTATGTACATAATGTATGTACCATGCTCGCATGGTCAGTTTAAATAGTAGAGGTATCAACTTGTACGTTTGTTCGGTAGCAATATTATACCATAATAGCCTTTGTATGAGGTCGATACGAGGATATATCGACCTGAAAGAAGTATATTGACTGAGGACGAAGTCCGAGGTCGATATATCCTCTTATCGACCTCATTCAAAAGCTACAATTGTTATATTATTATTGTCGTTAAGCCAGAAGTAGAGCACCTGCAACATTCCTTTTCTATCTGCTGTTTTCAGTCTACCTCTGAAAATAAAGTTGGACATGTTACTCTTTCTAAACGAATCCAATTAGTTAGAATATACACAATCATAATATTATTTTATATAAAACCTTATATATTGATCATGTTAGCACTACCTGTATTGAATGTTTGTGTATATGTAACTCGAATCTAAACGCAACAACTCGGTTAACTGTGAGGATTATTTCTTTCTAGTTTTAAATTTCAGTTGGGATAACGAGACTGTTGGCCTTATTTTGTTGTTATTGCATAAGCACATGCTTCAATACATGTTACTCTTATGGAATTTTTGTGCAAATTTCTGTCTTGTCTTAAATAATGCAGATGGATATATATGTAACTTTAAAAGTATACAATTTAAAAGTATACAATGGATACACTTGGTGAAATATAACCCATGACTGTACATAAGTCTTATCCTGTAGCAAGTCAGATATTATTTATTATATTTATTGGTTTAATGATACAGAAACCCAGAAACTTTAGTTGATTAATTTATTAACAAGCTTATGCAATTCTGTTTAGAACCCTTTCGGACCTTCATCCTAACCTGAAACAGTAGTGTAACGTTTCAACATAAAAAGACACACTATAAAATATCAATTGAAATGGCTTAACTCGATCAAAAAGACATATGAACAAAAACAGGTAAACATACACTGAACGAATAAGTTTGATCTATGACACAATACAATATTAATAAAAAAGTAGTAGAACAATGTCAAAACATGCATGTTTGCCAATGAGACAACTCTGCACCAGAGACCAAATGACGTAGAAGTTAGGTTTTGCGCATTGATTTGTTAACCTTCAGTTACCGCTATTAAATCATTCAAATATACTGATAACAATTCCAGTCTTAATGCTTATGAAATTGAAATACATGCCGAAATACATGTTTACAAATAAAGTACGATCGTGTTTTCATTCATAAAAAAATATTTTAGATTTACAACCTCTTTACACGCCTACACTTGATTTCCGCATATTTTGTTGCAATCTTAAAAGCGATCTTGAACAATATGTATGTAATAAACACTATGTATATATAATAATGTATGTATTAAGTCGGTTTCAAAAGTAATGGTTTATGATGATAAAGAATAGAAATTGATTATGGACAAGTTGATAGATGATACTCCTTCTTAGTCGAATAACTGTCTTAATTAAAATGTACGAAACCCGTACTACACACGGATTTCCCCATTATTTTACTGGTTATTCAAGTCTTACTTATTTGCTTTCAATAACACCTCGTCGTGTAGTGTCTACTGCATGAATACTACTAATATTTTGTTAGTCAACAAGAATCAAGTCATGTACCAAGTCAGGAATATGACAGTTGTTTTCCATTCGTTTGGTGTGTTTGAGATTTTGATTTTGCCATTTGATAAAGGACTTTCCGTTTTGAATTTCTTTTTGAGTTCTGTATTTGTGTTATGTTACTTTCTACATAATTACATAAATATATTTTTTATAATAGATATAAAAGGTCAAGCTTACAAATTATTTCAGTTAACCCTGTTCTTTGTTTGTACATTAGATGTTTGAATATACTGGAGCTTCCTACTTGATAACACATTACTGTTTATTAGTGTGTAAGTTATTCGTATTTTTGAACTTTCGACAAAAGAAAAAAGGTCACTGTATTTTCATTAGGCATGAACGTTTTAAAAAGGGTATATCCACTAATCCTCTTTTAAATCATTCAACTAAGTGAACTTATCCAGAAAAGATTGGCATAACAACATCTTACGGTAGATCTCTTCAGTATATCGATGAAAAGAAAAATACCGGAATGGTGAAAGATCATCTATATTTTGTGATCGGGATGTGAATATTGAGAAAATCTTTAGGTATATCTTTCTCAATACATTTCATTTTATAGCGTGCAGGACATATTTATAGCTTAAGACGTTTTAAATCATTATAAATAATAGTGACTTTTTCACTATAACATGCAGTAATCTATAATAGAAAAACAAAGGATATGGGGTATCCAACCATGACACAAAATCAGTACATGCACAGCAAAAAAAAAACAAAAACAAAAAAAAAAACAAAAAGCAAAGGAACAGCGCTTTTATTGCTGTTCTTCGTCTCAAAGTCACGGTGAGACCTTCAACACGAAGCAAAAAAAAAACCTCTCACCTCACTGCAAGTTTAAGTCGACTCCTAGCACCGGCTTGAGCGGAATTCTTTGCAAAAATAATTTGGATAGACTTTGTCGGGCCCGGTCAAAAAAGAACATACGGAAAGTAGTACATATTTAAAACAAAATACTTCCTACGCACAGGTGTAAATCTTATACTATGTAGCATATATTTTAGCAATTAAGGTATCAGATGAAAGGTTAAGGACTGGTGATCCTTGTAGAACACACAATTTACTGATAATTTTGAATAATAAAAAAATGTATGAATGAATTCTAAAATTGAGGGCATATATAGTCTGTTTCTCAGAAATAAATGGACTGGTTTGGTGTATCCAAAATTCCGGTAACCAGTACAGTATGGTCTGATGTATAAATACAGGTATATTGATCCCGCTTCCATAAAATGTTTTGAATTGAAAATTTAACGTGGATAGGAATGAGGACCAAGAATAGGTGGTGTGCGTCTTATTAAAATTTTAGTATACAAACTGTCCTAAAATTGAGAGAATGATGTGGCACACATAAGAGAAGTTATCTCAAGAATAAATACACCATAACTTTAAAAATACAGAAGAGCATACATATCAATATATTTAAATAAAAATAATAATCATTTAGCAATATTAATTATATTAAGGCCAATATCAAAGTATGTACATGTGCCATGCTCGCGTGTTGGTGTCTCGTAGTTATATATTATCATTCATCGTGGTAGCAAATTTATTATGTACTTTTTTCCAACATGCGTCCATCGTTCATGCTACCCTCATCATTCTACGTTCATTTTCCGTTATATATTACACGCGTGGACAGCTTGAATACTACGCACGTTAAGTAGCTAAATCATTTGATATGTAACCTAAGTATAGATTCTAGGTACTGACGTTGTTTATCATCTTAATTACGTGTTATAGTGTTCTTTTATTCGTCTTTGTAAATTATTACCTTTACTGTTTAGTCCATTTTTGGTAATATCCTCTTGGCTTGGCTCGGTACTTGTACATTCCTTCATGAGATGCCTCTACCAAGTCAGGAATATGACAGTTGTTTTCCCATTCGTTTGATGTGTTTGAGCTTTGGTTTTGCCATTTGAAGGGACTTTCCGTTTTGAATTTTACTTGGAGTTCAATATTTTTGTTATTTTACTTTTTACATATTGATCATGTTAGCACTAAATTATTCGTGATACAAGTAGATAAGTTACAAAAATTAGGTTTATCAGGTTACAAAAATCCGTTCAATAGAAAACACATGTACGGAGGCGGATTTATTAATTGATTGTTGCCTTGTCAAGTGACAAATATGTCATGCATATTCACGACGAGAACAATTTCATGATTAATGCAATTGGTATGTTATGCAAGGAATGTCGACGGTCGAAATTGCTTGATTTGGACTGCCACTTGAAAATGACAGCATATTGGATAAGAGCAGTCATTTTGACTTGCAAAAGGCATCCGATGGGCCCCTCTTAGAGTTGTTGCAATGTTTGTTTAAAGTCACAGAGTGTGACACACGAAGCCGGAAGTGGATGCGTATTTATTGATCCCGTTCTTTGACAGGGGTTTTACTGATTGTTTGGTATTTAGGTCTGGTTCTGTCCGTGCACTCCGGCTCCCTTTACAAATAAAAACTGACCGCTACGAAAAAGCGCAATAGTGCTGAAAGTGGCTTCGGTAGGGTTTTACTGAGAGACCGGTGAGGTCCAGGGGTGACCATATTTCTATAACCCAGTCAAGTTGAACTCTTAGAGTACTGTACGGAGGCAGATTTCTTTTATTTAGATGATAAACAACCTTCCTAAAATACAAGTCTTTGGGAAGGTTAAGCTAGCAAACATGTTTAACCCCGCCACATTATGTCAAATGCCTGTAATTAAGTGGTTGAGTTTGATCATATATGCTTTGTACATAAACCAGACCGTTGTTTTTCTCGTTAAAATTGTTTTACATTTGGTCATGTCGGGGCTTTTTATAGCTTACTATATGGGTAACGGTTTTGCTATATGTTGAAAGCCGTACAGTGACCTATATTTGATTAGCTATATACGTCATTTGGTCTCTGGTGGATAATTGTCTCACTATCAATAAAACTACATCTTCTTATATTCATTTTGGAACGTTTCTTATTTTATGGCAAACATTTAAGGGTCAATATGTGCTTGTACCATTGGTGACACTCTGTGGAAGAGATTAAGATTTGTCATTTTACCACTTTCAAATTTCTACGAAACTGAAAGTGAGCTTCAGGACCAAAGAATATTTGACGACTTATATTTAGTTGACAGACTTAATTTTATGTAGGATACTATGGCATGGTATTGGTTGCAAAAATTTGATATTTTTTATTCAAATGCAATAATTCTTATTTAATTGGTATATTTCTTCATTTAAATGCAATATTTTTTTTATTTGAATGGTATATTTTTACATTTAAATGCAATATTTTTTCATTCAAATGGTATAATTTTTCATTCAAATGGTATAATTTTTCATTCAAATGGTATAATTTTTCATTCAAATGGTATAATTTTCATTCAAATGCAATAGTTTTTATTCAATTGGTATAAAATGTCATCTGAATGCAATAATTTTTATTCAATTGGTATAGTATTTTTTTTTTATTTATATGCAATAATTGCATTATGGGAAATTCTTTGACGTCATAAGGTCAAATTTGCAACAACGTTTGTGATTGGTCGGAAATTGTTTCGATTTCTCCCCTTTCTTTCTAACATGGGTGACTTAGAATTAAAAAAAAAGCGTCAGAATATCGCCCCTCTAACTAAATCTAACGTTCGTGCGAGTCCTGCACTGGCTGTTAAAATCTTGTTGTCATAACTAGTATTTCTATTGCAAAATTTCGATGGTCAAAACGTTCGGTCCACTTTTCAAAAACCGTTTCATTGTATATGGATTTATATGCAAGTATATCGATTTTTTTAAATAGATTAGACACCGTTGGTTTTCCCGTTTGAATGGTTTTACACTACTAATTTTTTTGGGGGCCCTTTATAGCTTGCTGTTCGGTTTGAGCCAAGGCTCCGTGTTGAAGACCGTACGTTGACCTTTAATGGTTTACATTTACAAATTATGACTTGGATGGAGAGTTGTCTCATCGGCACTCATACCACATCTTCTTATATCTATATACAACGTAAACCAGAGGTTTCTCAGACTGTTTTCTTTTTTTAATAAATCCTTTGCCGCGCGTTGTGTACTGATTGATAACTCAGTCTGGGAGAACAAGATTTATTTCAGTACCAGTTGTAATTAGGTTTGAGCAAACTTCCAGTAATTGCAAATACTCTAATGTCGGTGCTTTGTGTCTATTGTCTTAATGTTAGTTTTTTTGTGTGTCTCGTACCGATCTTTTGAGTTAATTTGCTGATTTGTGGAGGTTGTTATTTTATTGTACTGTTACACCACTGTCCCAGCTTCGGGATGGGTTGCTCACAAACATGTTGTTGTACTGTTACACCGCTGTCCCAGATTAGGGGGAGGATTTGGATCCCGCTAACATGTTTAACCCCGCCACATTCTGTATGTATGTGCTTGTCCCAAGTCAGGAGCCTGTAATTCAGTGGTTGCCGTTTGTTGCTTTGTTATACATATTTATGTTTCGTTCATTTTTTTTTGTACATTAATTCGGAAGTTAGTTTTCTCGATTGAATTGTTTTACATTTTTGATTTCGGGGCCTTTTATAGCTGACTATGCAGTGTATGCTTTGCTTATTGTCGAAGGCCGTACGGTGACTTATAGCTGTTGATTTCTGTGTCATTTGATCTCTTGTGGAGAGTTTTCTCATTTGCAATCATACCACATCTTCGTATTTATATCCACCCTGCCATATTCTTTATTTGCCTGTCCCAGGGATGGATCCTGTAGTTTAGTGGTTGTCGTTGGTTCCTGTCTCGACTCATATTTGATATTTTGTAAATTTTTTTGTTATGTATAATTAGGCTGTTAGTTTTTTCGTTTGAATTGTTCACACTTTTCATGTCGGGCCCTTTATAGACGACTTTACAGTATCAGGTTTTTGTCATTGTTGAAGGCCTTACGATTGTCTACATGACGGCAAAAAGCTCTACAGAGCTTATGTTTGTAGTATTTCATGTAACCCGACTTAAAATAAATTTTTCTTATCTTATCTTATCTTATCTATAATTGCTTACATCCACTTCATATTTGAACTCCGGTGGATAGTTGCCTTATTAGCAATCATATTCCATCTCTTCATTTTTATATTATATACGTGACTTCTAAACTCGTGTTTTCCTGAACAAGCATGAAATAATTTTCACTGGGCGTTAAAATTAGCAACAAACAATCAATCAATTTAAACTTGTGTTAAATAAGAGGAAAACCATTTGATATTTATTTATTTGTTGGGGTGGGGGACAGAAGGATTTCATATATGAATATGGTTACCTGGTAAGAGCTGAAAAATAGGCATGATTAGCGACAGATTGAAATTAATAATAATGCCCTCTCTTCCCTTCCCCATCCTTCATCTATAGATTTAAACTGACCACCACGGAATAGCCCAATAGTGTTGAAAGTAGCGTTAAACACCAATCAATCAAAATCCCTTCCCTAGAATATCAAATAATCGTCCCTTAACTGTTATTGTCCGTGTAGTTCTTATATTTATCCAGCTTATCGTCCTACAGGGGTGTCCTACTAAGGCTGTCATACCATAAAAACGTTTATAAAACAGCTCACATTCTAATATATCTGCATTCCTAAATTTATTAATTTCATTTAGACTAAACGACGCCATGTTTGTTATGTTCCTCTGCCGTCAACCTTTCAAAAAAGAAGAGGTGGAAGAGAGCCAGAAGATCTTCCCAATGCAAAAAAAAAAAAAAAAACAGAAATGGACTTCTTCTGGCTCACTTCCGAAGAACAAAAAAAAAAAACGCGCCCCATTGATATGTTTTAAAAACGACTTGCCCCTACCCTTTTTTTTTCCAAAAAAATGGCATTATTAAATATATAAACATACATATAATCATCAAAATTAAAATGCTATTGTATTTTTATAAGACCTACTTTATTACATGACCTGGGACTAATGACATCTATCTATAAGTCCTAGCATACATTAATTATTATAATATGAATATGTTTCTTGTTTTAATAACCACATATGATGCTATGCACGAGTCATCATTTATCAGGACATGAATTGGGTTTACATAGAGAGGATAAGGGACGACATTAGAAAATCAACGAAGGATAAAAAACTTAATTCAAATATTTTTTTTTTTTTTGGGGGGGGGGGGGTCAAAATTGCTGCAAGTTTTGTTTAATTAACATCGATTTTATATATATCCTTATTGGTCAATCAATTTTTCCCAAATTAAGTTAAGAAAAGGGGGGGGGGGTATGGGGTCAGTGAAAAAAACTATATGAATTAAGTTTTTTTTATCCTACATTGAACTTTTGATGTCGTCCCTAATGTGCAAAAGAATAGATAAGGGGCGGGACCAAACCTATAGATAACATAATAAAGAAATGATGAAATATACAGAATACGTTGATTGACTTTTGGTTGCCTTATGTCCAGTTGCAAATATGTCACGCATGTACGTTAGGACAAATATAATAGAGATCAAAGGATAAAGAAAAGAGTGAAATGGTAAAAACTAAAAGATATAGAATTATAGAAACGTTCTTTGATCTGAAACCCCTACCCTCACACACACACCATAACCATTACTGCCAATACTCGCATATATACATCTCTATACAAATATCTAAATTTGAACCTACTCCCCCCACCCCCACCCCCTCTAGACACCGAGGTTTTTGATCCGCCCCTGTTAAATGTGTCTAATTATATACATTTTGTACGGGTCTAGATAATAGCTAAACGTACAATCATATAATTTGTTGGATACCTAATTATATTATATAATGTGTCACAAAATAAACTTGTATACCCCCCTTCCCATTGCAGTATTGAAAAGTAAATCATTTAAAAGTCCTGAGGATAAAATATGTTTTAAAATATGCCCTGCATACTTATTTATGCAAAGACATATAGTAATTATTGAACTACTGTGGGGCTTGAAAAAAAATCTATTTAAGGGATTCGGAGACGAGAACAGTA